TTAGGATATATATCAGATAATGGCCCCAGATAACTGTTCTCACTACTGATTTTGGCCAAAAAAAATGTTGATTGTGGGCTTGGACGTTGAAACTGGTGACTGACCTGGAGACCAAGAGTAGTCTGGGATAACCAAACAGCAAACTCACATTCCCAGAAATCAACCAACTAATTAAATGACTACTTATTAAGAAAATAAATTAGGTGTCAAGTATGTGCCAGGTACTGTGCTAGAGGTGGACCGCACTGGTCCTGTCTATCCCCCAGCTGTTTCCTAAGGCATAACCTTGGGGTTGGACAGGGACAAGGGTGGGTGTGGAGTTGCAGCCAGACTCAGCCAAAGGAAATATTTCAGGATGTCTGTTTTTATATTCAGAGACGCGGATGGTACAAAGCAGAGGTCTGTAAACTATTGCCCTTGGGCCAAATCAGGCCTGCTGCCTATTTTGGTAATTAGCCTTATTGGAACAGGCCGCATCCATTTACTGTTGTACCATTGACGGCTGCTTTTACACTATCCCAACTGAGTTGAGTGGTTGAGACAGAGACTGTGTGACCTACAGGCTCTAAAATATTTACGATCTGGCTCTTTATAGAAAAATATCTGCCGTTTCCATGTAGAGAATCAGTTGTCAAAGAGGAAGTATGGTCAGCTTTCCTGGTTTCTTCCCCAAGACCCAAACCACAAACTGGCCTCCTCATTAGAAAGTCCTTTTGTTCAGGTATTGTGATCATCTAGAACTATCCTTAGGGCATCCTTGGCGGCTCAGTAGAGAATCTGCCTGCCAACGCAGCAGACATAAGACATGTGAGTTTGATCTCTGGATTGGGAAAATCCCCTGGAGGAGGAAAAGGCAACCCACTCCTGTGTTCCTGCTGGGAAAATCCCATGGACAGAGGAGCCTGGTGGGCTATAGGCCACAGGGTCACGAAAGAGGGAGATGTGATTTAGCAACTAAGCAACAACAACAAAACTATCCTTGCAGTAAAGTTAAATACTCAGTTTTATTAGCATCTGGGTAAATAACAGGTATATGTGGTCCTTTTGGGCCTCTGGGGCAGGTGAATAGATGAGGAACAAAGGTCACAGTTGTTCAGGTTCTTCTACAGGGTCACAACACTGTCAGTCTGGCTAACCCAAGTCAGCCTTACTTAAAGGCTCACATGTCAAAAGGCCTACTCTCAACTTTGCTTTTTGTGGGGAAGCTCGGTGCCCTGGAAAGTTGGGCTCACAAGGCAGCCATGGGATGATCCTCACAGCCGGGCTTGTGAAGGCTCTCCCAGGCCATGCTTCCAGACACCTGTGTCCTCAGATGACACATGAGGCCATTCCCAGACACCTTTCTGGCCCCTAGATCTTTTTCCATTCTTTTTGAGATGCTCAGTCAGAGTTTCAGAGTGTCCAAGAACTTGCTAGAACCGTGTGTGCCTTGGCACCTTCTCCTGGATCTCTGTCCTCTTGGACTGTACCGGCCATGGTCCAGGAAGGGTGGGATGGACAAAGGGGAGGAGGGTGGCAGTGTTCACACAAGTCATGAATGTCAAAGAAGAGACAACATCTAAACCTTCTGGCAAGATTTTCAAGCTGCCAGTGGGATCTGCAGTGGAATGGAGGGCCGTGAGGGGACACTGATAGTCCCCAGGCCTCCAGATCTGCTCAGCCCAGCCCAGCACACATTAATGAGGGCCTGCTTGGTGACAAAACCTATCTGAGTGCAGGCTCCTGAGGCACTGGGGAGGAACAAGTTCCACGCCTTGCTTCAGAGGCTCTCCATGGGGACTGCTGGCCTGGCCCTGCAGTGGAGGGGCGGATGCTGCAGTGAAACCCGGGGCAGGGGTATGCGAGGCGACACCAGGGCTCTGGGGGGCACTTGCAGAGAAGCCCTGCCATTGGCAAGGCCTGACTACCCGGCATCCAGCCATCCCTCTCTTGCGCTTAAAGCCCCTTCCAGCTCAAAGGTTTGGAATTCTCTCCTTACCATCAATTTTGTAAAATGAGATTGTCATTAGAAACATGAGGGGGTGGGCCTAGAATATCTAGATTATCTCTCAGTGGGAACTATATTTCCCTCACAGGAACCAGAGAGAGAGGCAACCCTATGCCTGTTTTATGAAAGGGGAAAGTACCTCAGGTACGCTCAGTGCCCCATATCACAGATTAAAAAACAGAGGAGCTGGGACTCCCACGAGCCTGGACTTCAGATGTCCACCAGGAGCCCTAAGGGAGGCCAGGAAGGGGCAGGCCAGTCACAGAAGAGCAACTTGAGGGCTGGGTCTCCCTCGCAGTTGTGCAGGTTGATCCCTGTAGAAAGGAGCCCTCAGCAGAGGGAAGCTGTGGGCTGAAATTCAGTCTGCGTTTTAAATAATGAGTCTCAGTGATCTGGGCCCTCTGGGGAAGGGCCTCTTCTCTAATATCCACAAGAGGGGACCCTGGGGGATGGTGCTGGTCCCTGCTTGTGAGTGGACAGGTAGTGAGGTTGGGTGTGGGGAGGGACGGCAGATCCACCCCAGGGGGTCATGTGGGGAGCGCTGTGGGCTGATTTTGTGCAAACCTATTTCATTTCAGAACTTCCACTGTTGTGGCTTCATCTGCTTCAGTCACTTCCTCTCTTCATCAAATACCTATGTGAGGTCATTCAGCAGAACATTTACCGATAAAGTACTTTTCCCAAGACCAAGACAGGAGATAAAAAAAGAGAAGATGAGTGATAAGAACAAAGCATGTTGTCAATTGATACATTCAAAAAAATTGTTCCAAACACAATTTAGAGTTATCCCTTCTCTATAACTGAGGGCAAAATGGAGGTCTAGGAAAAAAGCAGAGACAAGTATTCCTTGAGTATCGTGGACTGAGGATTCATGAAGCCTGTTTCCTAACTGAAGACGCAACAATTAGTGATAAAAGCATTGGCGGGACTTCCCGCCCATAATGTAGCCATTGGTGGTCCAGCCATTGGTGGTCCAGTGGCTAAGACCCCATGCTCTCAATGCAGAGGACCAGGTTTGATCCTTGGTCAGGGAACTAGATCCCACATGCCACACCTAAGATTTGGCATGCCACAACAAAGATCGAAGACCCTGGACACCACAGCTAAGGCTTGATGCCGTCAAATAAATTAATATTTTAAAAAAATACTGGAATTCATCAAAATCAAATCATAAAAAGTTTTTCACCAACTTGGGTTCCAAATGAAGTTTAATTTCTTTTGTTTTACCAGCCCCTCCCACCTGCTCTGTGAACAGTAAAATCCAAAGTGCTTTTCTTTGCTCCCCTCCTCGGCCCGAGTTGTCTGAGAATGCTGAGGACATTTTAAAGACATGTTTAAAGACAGAAGACCTAGACTCTGATTACTTGACTAGTGCTGTTCACCTTGTTGCTTAGGACGATTCTCCAAGCTTAGAAGTTAACTTGGGTTAGGCTAGTGGTATTCCCCCATGTGTATTTCCTGATTATAGAGACTTGGGGTTCACATCCTCGTGTTCAGATATCTTCCCCACACATGCAGTTGCCGTGACAAACAGTTGATTCTAGAGGAGCTTCTAGCATCAGCCACACCATGCTGTGTCAGCGCCAGACCTCCTCTGCAATTCTTTTAGCTATTGCATCGAGCAGGCTTCCCTTTTCCTTAAGTTATTTCTGCAGCCCAAGTGCGTCTCTCTGTCCCCGGACTTTAGTTGGGGGCAGCCCGGTGCCCCTCTCAGGTCTTCCTGTTTTCAAATCTTGGGAAGCAGGAGTTAGCAGCCCTAGCATCTTCTCTCCCAGAAGGTTTTCAAGCTCCTTTTACAAGTGGATACCACACCACATCAGAGATTGGATTGGTATGCCAGTGGGTGAAAGGACTTGCAGCCTCACCACAGTAACAGGAAGTTCTCTTATCTCTCAAGGCCAGAACGTGGTGGGCCTCCAGGTTTACATAACCAAGGAAGACCTTCAGCTTCCCCCTCCCCCCAGAAAAACTAAATGCCTTAGATGACCTGGAGTCTTTACTTTCAGAAATGAGAAAGTAGATTTTATCTCTGCCTTAGAGAAGCCCTGCTACACTCACTAATAGAACACTGTGGCAAATGGGGAGACGGGTGATTGGGTGACAGTCAAATCCACACCCTGGGCTCCCAGTCGCAACTTCACTTTCTGTGGTCCAGTCTCACCCACTCTGTCCGTCTTGCCCCCTTTCCTGGCGTCTTCCTAGTAATATCATCCTTCAGAGCTGGTTCGGAAACTTGACCTCCTAAATAAATCATTGCCCCACCATACTCAGCGCGTGTTTTCATCATTCCCATTTTAGAGACGAGGGAGCAGATCCAGGGGAATTAGTCACTTTTGCTCCTTCATCTAACAGTGTCATAGGGCCAGAACGCCCACGCATCTCTGAGGCCTTACGTCCCCAGCGCCAGACTTAATGATGAGAGATTTCAGACCGGCGTGAGAACCAGAGCGTCCAGCGGCCGCCGCCAGACCCCATCCCAGCCTCGAACTGGGAGAAGCGGACGGTGGGGTATGCTGCAAACGGACCCCACAGCCTTCAGGATCGCTGGGCACCCGGAGGAATAAAGCCCGGGCTAAGGCGGCTGGCGACACCCTCACCCGGCTCAGGCTGCCAGCCACGGGAGAGAAGGCGCTGGCAAGAGCCCAGAGAGGATCCCCCGCGAGAAATATATCGCTTGCTGACATTTTTATGACCCGGGCCCGCTTACAAAACACAGGCCGGTGCACGGCTCCTCTCTCCCTGCCCAGCTTGAGATCACATGCTCCGCCCGCGGCTGCCACTTGGAGTCAGGAGAGCCCATATATTTCCCTCCTCAGATAGGCCTAGTGGTTCTCGTCAGGTGCAGAAAGCCAATAAATCACCAGCGAGGTCTCCGCGTATCTATCAGTCAGGAGGCTTGTCATCTTCCCGGCCTCGATTCACATGAAAGCCGCCCGCGGGCGGGGCGGGGCCTGGGCGGCGGGGGCGGGGCCAGCCGGCGCGGACACCTGGCGGGGGCGGGCGGGGCCAGCGAATGTTCGCAGCTCCGAGGGGCGCGGAGATTTACACCTCCTCCCCCTCCGCACGCGCCGCCCTGGGCTTTGAAGTTCCGCGGCTCCGGGTTGGGGCAGGGGAGGTCGGTTTCCCCCTGCCCGTTGTCCGGGGTTTTAATATTCCTGTCACGTCCTCAGTGCAGCTACGGCTGGGAGGGATGGAAGCCGTGGGGGAAAGTTCCGGGCGACATCCTCGCAAGGCCGCGGGAGGCAGGGAGGCGTCTCACGCCCAACTGTCCTGCCTTGACACCCCCGGCCGGACTCAGCTCAGCTTGGCCGAAAACACACTGAAACCGGAGTGAGAAGTTGGGGCGCCAGCCCCCGCCCCACCCCTCCGCTTGGGAAACTGTTTCCCGTGTTTGGGGTCTTTCAAATACCATAAAGTGGCTGCGGAATCTGAGAGATCTTGATTCAAATCCCACCTTTGCCGCTTGCTTCTTTGGGATTTCCCTAGTGGCTCAGACTGTTAAGAATTTGCCAGCCAATGAAGGAGACCTACATTCAATCCCTGGGTCGGGAAGATTCCCTGGAGAAGGGAATGGCAACCCACTCCAGTATTCTTGCCTGGAAAACCCCCTGGACAGAGGAGCCTGGTGGGCTATAGCCCCAACCGTGGGGTTGCAAAGAGTCCGACACGACTGAGGACTCGAGACTTTCACTCTCTTTGGAATTTGAGTAGATTTACTGATGGGCTTCCCTGTGGCTCAGACGGCAAAGAATCCGCCTGTAATGCCAGAGATCCGGGTTGGATCCCTCCCTCTGGTCCGGAAGATCTCCTGGAGAAGGGAATGGTTGCCCACTCCAGTGTACTTGCCTGGAGAATTCGCTGGACAGAGAAGTCTGGTGGGCTACTGACCATGGGGGTCACAAAGAGTCTGACAGGGCAGAGAGACTAACACTTAACACTGATGTGCAGTACTTCCACCTTCCTGTGTGTGAGTGGGTACAAACACCCACCTCACAGAGTTGCCGTGGCAGTTAAATGGGGCTGTAGGTGCCAACCGCTTAGTCTGTGACCACAGGTAATAGAATCATAAAAGATGATAGCTGCCTTTTTATTATTTTCTTTACCTATAAGATGTTGGTTTTGGACTACAAACACTTTTAAAGGCCACTTCTAGCTGGCCTTTAACACCAGTTGCACACCTGGTGTTGCTCAAGCAAGAGCGGGCTGGGGTGGAGCTGCTGACCACTCCCAGCCAGCCAGGAGCCCTGCTCAGGCCCTGGGACTCCCAGTTCTCAGCTCGCTTTAGCTTTAGGATTTCACAGCCTTAGGCCTGGGAAGTCTGGCTAGGTTTGATAAATGCCTCCTTACTTGGGAAGCATTTGGAAGGCTCCTTCTATGTCCTCATCACACCTGGGCTAGGGGCACCACCTGGTTCTGGGTGGGAGACCTATGTCTAGGAGGTTAACAGGAACTGCTCTTGGAGACACGGTCAACTGTGCATCACAGACTGGGGGAATCCGGTGGTCCTTTTCCTCCCACAGTCATGGCAACGGGTTCAGGGACCACATTCACCAGGCAGAGGGGTAAAAGCAGTTTTTGATCATATCCCATGGGAAAGCCAAGGAAAACCTGTCATCTAACCATTCTAGGTCTTAGATTTTGAGGCAGAAATACCAGTGTTTTTCAATGGGAAGCTTTTGGCATCTGGGGCCAGGCCTATCCTGCACTTAGGGTATATTTAACACTCTGGGCCAGGCATTAGATGCCAGCTGGACCTCCTGGCATTGGGACAATCAAAATGTCCTCATGTTTCCAAATGCTTTTCATTGAGGATCACTGGTTGATCCCATTTCCCCTCAAGTCCTAATATTGTGTCAGTTTAGGAGTCCTGCTTCAGGCAGTAACCAATTATTCTCACTGTGACTTTGGCCAAACTGGTCAATGTTTTTAAAGAAATCAGTATTATAGGAATAATCAAACTCACCCTGTAGTTTCTATACATCACAGAGCTTTGGTGAGGATATATACATTTTTTTAAAGGATGTGAAAACTCTCTGACGGTAAGGTACTACTATTAGTATGATAAAATAATGATAATAGTACCTTATTATCAGGTTTTAGGCACTGCATGGGCATCTATTTAATTCTAAAAGGAGTCTCTCAGGCAGGTTTTACTATTTTCATTTTACATATAAAGAAAACGGATTAAAAGAGTAAGTGAAAAGAGTAAGTGATTTGCCCAAGACCATGTAGCTAGAATTTGAAGCCAGAACACGGACTGTCTGAACTCATGTACTAAATAATGTCCTCTTCTTCTTGTTCTGCATGAGGCATGGGTCTGATCCCTGGTCAGGGAACTAAAATCTTTCATGCCATGCATGTGGCTCAGCCAAGAAAAATAAAATTAAAATGAAAAAAATAATAAAAGGAAAGCATGTGGGGGAAAAAAAAGAAAAAAGGGCCAGTGATCTTAAGAAGATCTGTCTTATTAGTCACTCTGCCTTCCAGCCTCGCTTAGTATGACTCTCCATTTTCCTTGCCTCCTCTGTGAAAATGAAGCTTCCTTAAGGTCACTTTCTTCTGTATAATCTTTCATATTATCCCACACATCCAGCTGTGGGAACCTGGGCCCCCAGACTCAGATAGTCTCAGTATTCTCCTCTCTAAAATGGTAATAGTCCTAAGCACTCCCACATCCCCTGCCCCACAGCACTATTCTGAGGATCAAAAGAACAAGAGTATATGAGATTGCTTTGTAAATTGTAAAGTGCCGTACAAATATGACTTATTATTACTTCCAGCTGCAGTTGTCTAAGGACTACTTCAATAAGGGCATTATAAATGATTGATAAGACTTTATGTGGTATTTGTGCTTTAAGGGGGAACAAGTCTTAAGTCAAAGGACTGAAACTCTGGTTTGGAATGTTGGTTCCAGCATCTAGACCAAGGGATTCAGGCAAGTGAATGGGGGGTTTGGGCCCAAGTCCAAAACACCAGTCGGCTTAACTTAGGTTAGGAACAGCTATTAAATGTTGATTATTATTTGTTCATTGAACAAGTCAAAGAAAGTTAGTAATAATATTAGCAAATATTAATTTGAGAGCTTACTTTATATCAGGGATTATTCTAAATAGTTTGTATCTGTGTTTGTGCTTGTCCTCAGTCATCTCTGACTCTTTGTGACCCCCTGGACTGTAGCCCACCAGGCTCCTCTGTCCATGGGATTTCCCAGGCAAGAACACTGGAGTGGGTTGCCATTTCCTCCTCCAGGGGATCTTCCCAACCCGGGGATCTAACCTGAATCCCCTGTACTGCTAATAGGATTCTTTGCCACTGAGCCTCTTGGGAAACCATTTTGTATCTCCATGTATTTCATTCTTAAAAGAATCCAGTGAGATGACTATCTCTATGGGGAATATGACTAGCCTCATTTTCCAAATGAGGAAAATAAGGCTCAGAGAAGTTATGAGGCTTTTTCTAGGGTCATACAGCTAATAAGTGATGTGGCTTGGGTTTGAACCCAGTTTTTCTGACCCCTAAGCCAAAAGAAACAAAGAAGGGATGGACAGAAGGAAGGAAAAAAGGAAACTAGGAAGAAAGGTAGGCTTGAAAGAAGGACATTTATGTACTGAACACTGCTCAGATATATTATTCTGAGACTCTACAAGACAGAGATCTAGATAGAACCCAATGATGTCCAAATGAAACATGTCCTGAAGGAGTCAAAGAAAGATCTTTGGGTCTATCTTTCCCATAAGGTAGAGTGTGTTCATCTTCACATCTATGGACTATAAAGGAGCCACTACCACTGTGATGAAAATCTAACCTGAATATGTGGAAACACATAAGGAGGGTCAGGTGAGAGTTGGTAGAGGTGATGTCTGGGTGAATCTTTGGGAATTCATAGGATCCAGCCAGGCAGAGTTGGGGGAGGAGGCAGGAAACAACATAAAGTGGGTGAAGCTACAAGTAATCTTGTCATATTACCATGCAAAGACTGTGGAAGAGACAAGACATGGGGCTGAAAGTGCAATAGGATCCAGCTCATTTGTGCCAGGAAGTCTCTCAGACAAGCCAAGGAGCTTAGGCTCCATCTTGTAAGTGACAGAGGGCCATCAATGGTCTTACGCAGAGTTAGGTTTATGCTGTAGCTATTCATTCTGGCTAGAGTAGGGAAGCTGGATTTGATGGGTAGAGGGCATGGCAAGAAATCGAAAGAGTATTCAAAGTTCTGACAAGAGATTATGAGCTCCATAACTAGGGAACTCGCCCTAGAGCTGATGAAGAGACTGAAGGGATACTTAGGAGAGATTTTTAGAGGCATTTCGTGATTGGATTGAAGTGGAATGGCTGGTACTGGAGATATCTTGGTTGATACCTATATTTCTTGATTTAATGACTGGAAAGCTAGGGTGCTAACCAGCAGAGGTTAGAGTGCTAGAAAGTGAAAGTGAAAGTGAAGTCGCTCAGTCATGTCCAACTCTTTGTGACCCCATGGACTATAGTTTACCAGGCTCCTCCGTCCGTGGGATTTTCCAGGCAAGAATACTGGAGTGGGTTGCCATTGCCTTTTCTAGGAGATCTTCCCAACCCAGGGATTGAACCCGGGTCTCCTGAATTGTAGGCAGACGCTTTACTGCCTGAGCCACCAGGGAAGTCCCTTTAGAGTGCTAGAGCAGAGGTCAATGCAGAGAGATGGATTTGTCCAGCCTCAGACTGGAAAGAATAAACATGAAAAACACTGGGAAGCAGTCCAGGATAGGGATGTTTATTTGATTTGTTAAAAAATAATTTATTAACTGTGGTGTGTTGACATTAGGCTAGGTGTGAGACTTGGAAATGTCACAGTAACAATTTCCAGATCTCAGTGACTTAAGACCAAAGCAAAAGTTTATTTCTCATTTATACTACATGTCAAATTTAAGTGTTGTTCAGGGGCTGTGTTCTACTTTGTCACCCAGAGACCCAAATTGATGAGGTTGCATCGTCTTGTAACTTCAGCATTTAGCACATGAGTCCTCCTCAGTCACCTTGGCAAGAGAAGAGAGAGGCTAAAGAACCACACATGGCCTTTTGCCCCCTGAGCTGGGATTGACATATATCATATCCGCTCACATATCACTGCTAGAGTTGGTCTCATGGTCCCACATAACTGCAGGGGTTGGAAAGTGTAGAGGAGCAAATATGTAATATAATATTTGCTATTATAACTATAATATTAGTTAGCAAATATTATGGCTAACTAATAATCCATTGATTTAACTGGGAGCTCACCTTTGTGGTTTCCTATCATCCCAGGAGAAGAGGGTCTCATTACTTCATTGTTTGTTTTTTTCTCTTGAGAAAATTGACCTA